AGGCGGCGCGCCCGAGCCCCGCAGCCCGAGGCGGGGACGCGCGTCCGCGAGCCGAGCTGTGCGGAGCAGCCCGGCCTCTTGGAGGCGAGCGCCCAGCGGCGGGATGCAAGGCGTCTTAATGCTGGCTACCTCTGAGCGAGAGAGACGGAGGCTTCCGGGAAAGCAAGGTTTCACTCAACTTTGGAGTCATGACCCTCCTTGCTTCTTCCGCTGTTTAACCAGCAGAAGGCTAAAACAAGAAAGAAAGAAAGAAAAAATAACACCAGAAACCATTCCTGCGACTGTGCTAATTGTGCCCAAATGTGAATGAAAATTAAAGAAGTAGGGGATGAATGGAGGGTGCTTGTGGGTGTGTGGGATCGAGTTTTGCTTTGCTTTGTTTGAAGAAAGCAAACACTCTCCCTCATTTTCCTTTTTCTGTTAGAGGTGTCACTCCGGGATCTCCAAAGTTCTCAAACGTTGCCTCATTGCTGGCCACTTATATTTTTGTTGATTTTAACACAGACCCTGGAAATTGCCTTTCTAGTAAGAAAATGGAAAGTTAAAAAAAAAAAAACACTTAAGTTTTTTGTTTGTTTGTTTCCTCTTTATTAGGTAGGTGGTGGGATCTTTCTTTAACTGATCTTGGAAGGGACTCAATGTCGATTTTTATCTTCTGCAGTAGGCTACTGGTTTCAGGCAGACAACCTCTTCCCCAAGACAGTAGGTTGGCTTCCTGTCCAGGGCTCCACAATGAGACCATGGCTTTCTGTCTGAAGCCATCAAAACGCCCCTAGGACGCAGCGGGTCAGAAATCTGGGTCCTCACTTCCAGGGCAGTCTCAAGAGAGAAGGAAAACTTGGCTTGCAAGACAGCATTGCAGACAATTCCTCAGTGCTATCAACCTCAGTATTGACAGATGCACACAACAAGGGAACATGTCTTGCCAAAGTATTACCTGTTCCCAAACACCTCTCTATGGAGAATAAACAGTTTAAGGTGAGGTGATTGTTGTGGATGAGGTAATTGCACTAACTTACTTTGTCCTAAAGACAAAGAGGTTGATAGACAGAAAGATTGATTACCTGATAAGCACCTAGACCATCCCCCTCTGAGGACACCAGGCTTGTGAATGTCAGCGGAAGGAGCTGATTTTTTCCTACAGAGCTCTTGCAGCTCAATAACAGCTTTGGGTCCTGGGCAAGAAAACCAAGCTCTGGGGAATGGATACTTCAAAGCGAAGACTAATGTGAGGCTGGCAAGGGACTCGCCTGGAAATCTCCTCAGAATCTTGGTAAATGAGGGGTTTGTCCTTTTCTTCTGAGAAGGTGAATTGAAAATTAATCTACCAAATATGCTTCACGTGTCTCCCAGAAGCTACTCATTCATTGCCTGCCTTTCTGTATTCCTCAAGACTATGTGGCAGTCCTGTTACAAATGAGTATTTGTGGGTGTTTTGTTTTTTTTTTTAAGAAAAATAGTCATATTTCCAAGATTCTATGACCATAGTTAATTCTTAACTCTTGTCCCCACAGGGAGCAAATGTAAAATCAGTTTATTTTGGGAAAGAGTCAGAGAAACAGATTAGCTAAATTTATATTAATAATTCCAACAAGAATGATGAATGGAAGAGGAAGAAATCAAATTACCTTTGAACAAACCCTAGTCTCGGGAACAGGTCTTCATTCATGTTTTTAAAGAAGACTCTATAAGGCAGATATATCATCACTATCAGAAGGTAAGGACAGTGAAGTTGGCCTCAGGAGTAAATTGCCCAAGGCCAGTGTAAGCAAGTGGTTGTTGAAGATCAAGAACAAGAAGAACTAGATCCATTTCGTGTAATTCTAAACTCACAGTGCAAGCCACAGGCGTGTCTGGTCCGTGATGATTATTTAGTTACTGGCTGAACACCAGTTGCACCTTGAGTGTTACCAGAAGTGTTCCATACCCTATATTACACACTACGTATTAATTATGAGGTACACCTGAATTTCCTGTAATTAATTAACTTCAGATATTTTAAAACATGTGCAGCTGTTCCATATATATAAATAGCAATATCTATTTGGATAAAACAGTTGGGCAGTTGTCACTCACGATTGGTTCCTCTGTTCAAGTAGCCACAGCTTAGAATGTGAGAACTGGGGCTGGTGAGATGGATTATGGGTGAACAGGCTTACAGCATAAGCTTGTCCACTCGAGCCTGATCCAGGGATCCAGTAGGAGAAGGAGAGCACCCTGTTCTCAAAAGGTGTTATCTGACCGCTATGAACACACACACACACACACACACACACACACACACACACACACACACCATAAAGAAAAAAACAAGGGGAGGGTGGAGGAAGAAGATAACTACCCTAAGAATCTGAATACAAAGGGACTCAAACCCTCACTGCCAGGAGTTGGCTGGCTGGTTTAGGGCAGACAACTCAGCCCTTCCTGTCTCCTCAACTGCAAACCAATGGTTTCCTCAATTCAAAATGCAATTTTACAACCAGTTGCATTTACAAATCATCAATTTTTAACTCTGACATATCATGATTTTGAATACAAGTCACTCAACTACATTGGAAATTAAGCTATGTCTTCTGGAATTGAAATAATTGTTTAAGAAACACATTGTGTTCCAGAGAGATTATTTTGGATTATAGCTAAGCTTTAATATTAACTATAACCCAGTATGTCTTAGTAGGATCAGGCTGCTGTAACAAAATACTGAAGAGTGATTAGCTTCTAAATAATAGAAATTTATTCCTACGCCTATGAATGCTAGACAACCCAAGATTAAAGAGCTGGTAGATTCAGTATTTCCTGAGGACCCATTTCCTGATGGTGCCCTGACACCTGCCACCATCTCACGGTGAAAAGGTGAAAGGAATGCCTCTTATATGAAGGCATTGATCCCATTCATGAGATCTCTAACTTCATCACCTATGAAAAGTCCTGCCTCCTGAGACCATCATCTTGGTAACTATGAAATGGGTGAAAGGGCATACATTCAGACCAAAGCTAATATTAATTCAAGGAAGAGAGTTGGTAAAGTGTTGTATTTTTATATTTTTGCTTTTTGAATTGATGGTGCTAATTTTCTGATAATTCATCCACAAAGGAAAGAGATATGAAACTTTGACATCTATCGTACTCAGATCATCTCTTCTTCTAAAAATTAAGAAGAAGGAAGAACTGACTCACCCTAGGAGGAAAAGTTTGGAGATATATTCCTTCTACATATATGCATTTTTCATAGGCATTATAATGTCTTACTTAGTTTCCCTGTTAGTGTGATAAAAACACTGTACAAATGTGACTTGAGGGAGGAAAGAGTTCATTTGCCTTAGAGGTTATTTATGCTCCTTTACTGAGAGACACCAAACCAGGAGCTGAAGCAGAGTCATGGAGAAGGGCTGCTTACTGGCTTGCTCCTCGTGGCCTGTTCAGCCTGCTTTACTATAGGACTCAGGATCACCTGACCCGGGGTGGCACTGCCCACAGTGAACTGGGCCCTCCCATGCCAACCATTAATGGACAGAATGCCTCTCAGTCTTGCCCAAAGGCCAAATCATTGGAAGCAATGCTTCAACCGCTGTTCCTTTCCCTCTGGTGATGTGTGTAGCAATGGACAAACCCTTCTCAGCACGTTCAGGAAGAATTCTCTGTGTTTGGGAAAAAAGTACTTAACCAATCTGCTCGGTATAAGTAGCAGAGCTCTTAGAAAAGTGAATAAGGTAGAAACAGGCTCTTCTATGTGATGCAGAAGGACGATGGAAGATGTAGAGTCCATGGAAAGGCGTGCCAAAGATGTGACCTTCCTTCTTGGAATCCCAAGAAATCATTGTGTGTGTGGAGGTGGCGTCATCCTTTACGACAATGGGCACAGAGATTGTATTTTTAATGTACTCTACTGAAAACTAACATTAACACTCAAAAAAGAAAAACATGACTTTTGACCGGAAAGCATTCACAATGAAGAGGCAGATGCTTTCTTTTCTTTTTATTTATTTGCTTGTTTGTTTGTTTGCTGCCTGAAACAGTGGATAAGACTCTCTTAGGATGAGCACATGACTCACTTACAGTGTAAACAAAGGCAAGATGCTGAAGCCAGTGAGATGAAGACCTTTGGGCACAGAGCAGAGATATAACCCAAAAGGAAAAAAAAAAAAAAAAAAAAAGACGCTGAGGAGCACAGTAAGGCTTTCTGGAAGAAGAGCTGAAAATACCACACATTGTATATCTGTGTCAGAATTTACCTAACCTATGTGGGCTAAGTGGGCAATCTGAGTTATAATGGATGTTAGAATTAATCTTTCTAGGGGGTTAAAATATGTGTCTTCTCTTGGGCATGGGTCAAGGACCAGTTATCTCCCTACATTTGTGTACAATATTGCAGCTTCTTCCCCCTTGAACTTGTCCACTGTTTCTGAAGATCCAACTAATATCTATTTCTAGCTCTGCCACTGCTGGATGTTTGTGATAAAAGCCATTGTCTCCATTAATCATACAATTATGCTAATACATGTGAGAAGACCGAAAATGAACTGGACGAGAGGGCAACAGCTGGCAACTTCAATTGGTGAACTTGGCAATGCAATTAAATGAGATATTTTACACATCTCCCCTAGGAATGCTGCATGCCAGTCATTTCTGAGGACAGTCTTCTTCAATAAGAGCGGCACAATTCAGAAATTCATGCAACTGACTGTGAGCATGCTGTCTTGTATTTAGTACTGTGTGCGCACAGCTCGGCATCTGATTCATGAACATGCTGGAAAGCAGAGGAGAGACACGGGTGTTAAAAGCTGTAAGCAGTTCACATGGGATGTTCTGTCTGTGTACAATAATCCAGCTTAACAACCGTCCCTGTACAAGGCAATA